TACACTCAATACTTTCAAATATGACTAAAAAGGTAGCATTATGCATCTAAAATGTGGAAAGAAGTCAGAGAATATTGTTTTTTCATTTTATATGACTTAACATTATTTGCACCAGCTGACCGCAGTCAGTTATAGTGTCTACAGACTTTGCGGTAAAGGGTGTTAAAGCTGATTTTTCAAGAATAGACTAATTCTAGGTTTGCGAATGAATTTTTAGCATAAGCGACAACTGCGATAAAATGTAAACAAGTAAAAATGTTTTCACAGAATTATAATTTCTACAGAAACATGATTTATTTTAATTTATTCAGACCTCCAGTGATACATACATTACTGCATTGGAAGAACAGAAATAATGAAATGAGTCAGATCTGTCTAATAAACTTAATACATAAGCTACATTAGTAAAATTCATTAAGAATTTATCAAAGTAAGGAAGGTTATGACCAAAAAATCCTGAAATACTGTCAAGGTCTGCATGATAATACTTATTCTGAGTTCTAACCATGCATCATACATGTAGTGCAGAATGTCACTTAGCAGCATGGCATGCCTTTTGTGGTTCTAAGGACTTTATTTATGCTTTCGCAGCTGACATTCATGTTTTTTCAGTTTGTTGGAGACTGTTTTTTGTTATTTTTTCATTTATATGTAGGTGTTGACTGTCACTTTTGAATTCAGTCTCAGTCAGTGATGCTTATATGAGCATGATCTACTAAGTATATCATTGTACTGAAATATTAATAAATTCCAAATTTAACTGATGAAGAAATTTGGCATATTTACATAATTGAAATATCAGAATAACTATAATTCAGCTAATAAGGTGCACATTTCTTCTCAGATCACTTCCTATAAATTTTATCAACAGTTTTGGTACACCCACACACCTCAAAGAATCATGGAGGATGTCCTGAATCTGGTCTCTGTGATGCATTTTGTCTCATAGAAAAGTGTTCAAACTCATTAAAATGTTTAATATTTATATTTTAAAATCTAAATGTTCATTTTTTTATGTAAATTTGTTGAAACAAAAAGATATAATCTTGCATAAATCATGGAAATTCATTAAATACCTTTGGAATTCCTGAATAAATCCATGAAAAGAGAATAATTATGCATGTTAAATTGAAATTTCATGGCTAATTTGTGTCTTAAGAGAAAGCCAGTTGCATAAATCACAACAATAAATTACATCTGAATTGTTGTCTCCAGGTTCTTATCATCAAAGCCAGTTTAATGGAGTGTGGGAGCTGTGAAGAACCTCCCTTGATGCTGATATCATTTTGACTGCCCTGAGGTACAACACAGCATTTAGATAAACTTCTGCACAGCAGCTTGTAGACACATACCTAGGCTTTATTTGGAACATAAATTGACCAGATACAGTGTTCATTATCAACCCAGTATTTAACAATTTCTGTATTTTTGTTCATTCTTTGAAGGGGAAAATGCAACTTTGTTATGTAATAATTACATAATGGTCTTAGACTTGTAAACTCTTTTCTGTTTGTGGTGAAGAACAAAGCATATACTCTCCACGGATAAAAAATTGGTTGCCAAGCTTATTCTTTTAATGGTGAAATTCTGCTTCAAAAGATGCACAAAAAACTGCTTCCAGAGTGCTGTGTCTGTTGTTCTTGACTGCTCTGGAGTAAGGGAGATAAATGCTTCATATCTTCAGAAATAAGGGGATTTAGATCACCAGACTTAGGGATGTTGGGGACAATTATTTCATGAATCTCAGGTGCAAAAATGGAAAAAATCGAACACCTTCAAAGGTCCTTCAAGGTATCACACCGGTAATTGACCAATCAAAAAGAACTTAGTCAAATGTAGGTCCATATATATAGAATTAATTTTCTTTTCTTTTGAGGCGTTTTTCTATTTTCTTCCATGCCACTTTTACAACTTTGGTACCTGTGCCTAGTAAATTTTATGTACTTTGTGAATAAATAAAGGTTTTGGACAGGAACTATTTTTTTCATGGCATAGGAGGCTACTTCCTGTAGTGCACTCGAGGTGTTTATAAACACAGTGAAAACACGTGGATTTGAGGGTAGCCCTGTTTGCAGATGGAAAAAGTCCGAAAATGCCGTGTGGGTACCCTGTTTTTTGGTGTCAGCTAATGTGACAGGTAATGTTTAACACCTTCTGCTAAATATTTTTTCATGTAAACAAATACCTGATTTTTAACGATTTTTTATTCTATATAGAATTATATAGTGAAAACAATTACCGGTGTGATACCTTGAATAGAGATAGGAACAACAACTCTACATACTGACGGTAGGCAGTGAATCTAGTCTTCTCGACGCCCGGCCGTCCCGGATTTTTGGCAATATCTTTTTTACCGGTGCAAAGAATTTATTCAAACTTTTCATGAACTTTTCCTTGGTTTAAATTAATTCATTAATGCATTAAAACTTGTTTTGAACTTGGTATTGCTTTTTGTCTTCACAATATTAAAAAAGATTAGGTTCTGACGTACTCCATGTATAATGTTAGTGTAACTGAAATACATTTATATTCACAGAGAAGTTTCATATAACAAACCTTTTAGCTCTTACAAGGATGCTGTGTTAAAATCCACATTATATCAATATTGATATTGTTCCTGCGAAACTGAAATTTTCATAACACATGGGTAAAGATGCCAAAGAAAAATATATTACAAATTTGAAGACTGCATGGGAGCAGTGAATTCTATGAATGATCAACCGTCTGTAATATGAATATGTATGTTTTGCAATGGGAAACCGAAATAATGTGTAGGATGAAAAAGTAATAGAAGGTGCACAACGGCAATATGTAATAAAGATTCTATGAAAATTTCGTTCAGTGGTGTAGGAGGAGTTGCGGATAAGAGATTGGTATACCTAAAGCGTAACAAACAGATGGACGGAATTCCTGATTAATAAATACCCTCCCGCTTTTCAAGCAGGGGGTATAAAAAAGGACTAATGTTGCATTATGGCCCATCCTTTTTTTTTTGCTATTCCATGCCTCTGAATGTCTTTCGCAAGATTGTTGCAACACAAAAAAATTTGAAACAGTTGTCTGTATTGGAAATAATAAAATTGTTTACTCACTTAACCTCCCGATCAAAGATTTTGTTATACACCATGTTCAACTCCCATGAGTGCGTTCAGTACTTTGATTATATTTGTCCCTTAAAAATGTTAACTTTAATCCACAAGGGGGTCATTATTCTACTAAGGTCATTAATCCTCTCATTGGATATGCAAATTATTAGGGGGATGACACTTTTTGTACAGACAAAATGGTCCTTATTCGACGTCGAATAAATACCGGGTGTAACATGTATATTTCTTAGTAAAATAATGACAGGAAGTGAGATCTTTAAATTGCCTTCGAAAAATCACCCCCCTCTACATTATATGACGACGGCTATTTATTGTCTTTAAACTGGCTTTGTCAATGAACAGCAAACAAGAGAATTCCCCAAACAAACATCTTTCGACGTTCCATCCCTGATCTGTATACATCAGGAATGGTAAACTAAACCGTGACTGCTGATTGTGTCATCTTTTTGGCTTTTTATAAACTGGTGTAAGATATCGTTAATGTGTAAAAATCTGAGATAGACAAAATTGTGCTCCATGTTGTCCGAAGAGAAAATAATCTCATATATGATTAAATTATACAGGAAATGAGGACATTAATGAATATATTTTAATTATGCTCCTCTAGTGGCTTTCATGGAAGCCTAGGATCCAAATTAGTGCTGGTTTTAAGGCAAAACACCTTTTAAGTTCTGAACTGCAAACTATCATAATTTTAATAGCCACATGATTTTTAAATATAATAAGCGGGCAAATTTGCCTGTTACATGTACTCTACGTTGTATTAGAACAACAACACACACACTATTTTAATGAGACATGATCTCTAACACCCTAATAATTACGAATGCAAGAATACAGACATTAACAATTCTTATACTTAAAATCAAAAGTAACGGGACAACAGTAATTTATTAGTATTGGTGTTAAGAACCATAACTCACGACCAATTTTGATTTTCTTGTTTATGAAGTGTCATATATATTGTATGATAAAAAAAAGTAACTGTTCCTGTCAGGGAGTGTGTGATTTTTTATGTGCACAGGTCAAGTTGAAAACCTTTCAAAGTCATATCTTTCTCATTAAAAGTAGACTTATGAGCAAAAAGATTACATTTGTCACCAGAAAAGTTATTATACATACTGAAAGGAGAAAAATGTAAGGTAGCATAATCTTTACAGTTTCTTGAACCGCATGATCGAAAATAAGAAAACCAGTCAGATGGTAATGTTAGATACTATGCACTTAAATTAGTATTTAAAATTACTCAGCCAATTTTTAATTTTTTTCTTTTCTTTTATTTCTTTATTTCTTTCTCTTTTTTTTTTTTGGGGGGGGGGGGGGTTGGGGTGGTATTATTGTATGAGTTTCTATAACTCATGAATTTAAAAAGACAAAATCAAAAAGGGATTTTTGTTAATTTTTTAAGACGATTTTAAAAGCAAGACGGGAATACTGAGAAAAAAATAATTCACCTGAAAAGTTTACTCTGTGTTTCTTTTTCTTTTCACCCGCCTGCTATGGATATGATGACAAATAGGCGCACTTGTTTATACTGAACTTCCGCTTTTTTTAACCTCGTAACTAGATGCCTATGAATTAAAATTATGCATCTTTGAAACATTTATAATTTTAACATTTTTTAAAAATCATTTTGTATTTTACAACATTTGTTTTAAATACGAAAGCTCGATAAAAAAATAAAGAAATGTTATTGTCATGATAAATAATATTTTTTTTAGAATCAAACATCTTTCTTACTCGTGTTAATATGCCTTCAATGACACATCAAATTTTTGCCCTTTTATTTGAAACGTGTTTGTTTGATGTAAGTTGTAACTTTGTTGATCAAGTTTCTCATATAATTCTCTTTGAAGATTGTTTTGACAACCTTTCAAAGTACACTAACCCAGTATACAGAATAAATAACTTCAATTCCGATCGGCCAGAAGCAACACAAATAGGTGAGTATAGCGGGAACCATCCAGTCCCTCTGAGGAGGCTGAGACACGACCACCGTTGCGGGGACAGGCTGTGTGACCTAAAAAAGGAATAACACCAGTGAAACCTGTCTAATCCGACATGCTCTGGAAGAAAAATTCTGTTTCAGAGTAGAGAGGGTGTCGAATTGCACAGTGTAAAATTACATGCAAATTTGTAAATTTGGAAAGAAATCTATCGTCGGAATTCACAGTTTGACGAATTGAGTAGGTTTCACATTAGAGAGTTTTCACTGTATAGAGATTAGTTGACGCCATTCTCTATTTTACATAATGTGTGATGACCTACTTTAAAGAAGTATGAATATACGTCATACTGTATGTTGTAGGTCTTACTTGTTATTATGGGAACAAAGTTACACATGTATTTCTTACTCAATATTTGGGCACCTTTGTACATGTCACATGACTGAACGACATTTCACGTCATAATCGGTGATGATATACATGTTAAACGTTGTTAAAATCAACAGTTCTTGTGTAGTTTTATTCTAAATTCTAAAATTGTTTTTTAAACATTTAATTTTAGAAAATATTATGAATAATTATTTTTTTTAAAGATCTTGCCATCATTTAGATATTGTGAAGTTGCCCAATCCAGACATTTGTTTCTCGTTACCCTGCAGTCTGACGTCAGTGACGTCATAGACGTAGTGTTCGAATTCTCAGTGCAGCGAGATCAAATACACACACCAGCCATGATCAGATTTTTTTTTTCATAATAAACAGGTCACAGTCAATGTATCGTGATAAATTTCTGAAGCAGATTTTTTAAAATTAATATTTTTTGTGTTTAGTAGCAAAGATTCTCTCTATTTAGATAATTTTGAATGTTTGTATTTTCGTGTGACGTCACAATTGATTTCCCGCATTCGGAAAATACAAACGTGAAGCGTTTTTATCATGCTTACGTCTAATTCAATGATGTCCCGTGCGATATTGAGGTAAGCTTCACCCTGTGATATTTATGCAGTAAAGAATTACGATGAAGGACTGACATTCAATCGTAAATTTAGAAATTTTTATTGACAGAATTTTTTCCAAATGAGGTTTTTGTCGTTGAAGCTGACTTGAAAAATTCAGAAATTATCTCACCCAAATACTATATAAAATTAAAACAACTTTTTTCAGATCATTTAAACACAATGAATATTATGAAATATTTGAGTATATAGTGTAATCCATCATATTTATCTTTTTGTGAGTAAAAATTCGCATTATGGACTCCGTTATGGGTCCGTAAACATGAAGTATCTAAACGCCATACAATCTCTAAACAGGGCAGTATTTGTTGGGCGATATCTTTTAAGTAAGTCAAGAAATCTCATGACAGAACCATTTTAAAATGTTAAGTACAGTAAAACTCGGTTATAGCCAAGTCCTGGGGACCTGTGAATTTAAATCGCTATATCCGTAATTCGCTATATCTGTATAACGAATTCGTGTAACCATTATAGCGAATTTGCACTATCCATGTTTCTTTCAAGTAATATTACCAACTTTGTTAGTGTAGAAAATATAACGAAACATATCCCCGATAAGGTTTTCTTATGAATTGAGTTTTATATACAAATGCTTAAAGGAAATAAAGTAAGTTCAATTTATCATTTTTGTTATAACCTTTGAAAGTTCGATATAAATGATGTAAATTTCATAATATTTAACCTCAGCTGGACTCAAAATCAGTTCGATATATCCGTAAATTCGTTATATCCGAGTTCGTTATAGCTGTAAAATTTTACAAAGATTTGTAAAGAATTTTGCCGGGGACCCAGAAAAACTTCGCTATATCCGTTAATTCGCTATATCCGTGTTCGCACTAAACGAGTTTTACTGTACATATTAAATTAGTTATATAAAAAATACGAAAAATATTCATTTACAGGAATTTTTTCAGCTAAAGGTCCTGTTCCTCCTCAAATATAGTTTTAATCAAATTAAGAAGAACAGTAACAAGATTAAAAAAATATATATGGAAGCTACCACCACCTCCCCCTCGAAAAAAATGCATGTCCATAATCATGATCAGATAATGTTGGATTGCTTTTAAATGTTTGTTCAAAAATATTCTAAGTATTTAAAAACACAGGGAATTAATACATATTTATGAACTGAGTGTATGGGTAACATGCATTTTGTCAGAACCAAGAACCAAACTGTTGTTTGCTTCGGGCCGAAGAAAGGCAGTTTGGTTCCAGGGTCGACAAAACGCATTTTGCACGAGAACGCAGTCAATAAATGTTTTGTTATAGCGTTCATTTTAATTTTTTTGGACATACATGTATCTTGTATTGTCGTACGTGATGTAACATCATGTCGGTTGAACCAAGGAAGGTAAAAACAAACCAAACATTTCATCGAACGGATCATATAGCGGCTAAACGTCGATAATTTGTTTTTTTATGCCACATCGGTAATATTAGAAATGTTAGATTTCTTCTCGTATAGATTTGTATAGAAGTAATTTTTTAAAGGTTTAACGAAAGAAAATATTTTTCGAAATGACGAAACAAAATGGAAACTAGTCTGTTTCACAAGTAATATCAATCTTTCATATTTACGCCTGTTGGTCCCACTTCTTTTTGTTTAACCCCTTCTCTACCGCATCGGTCAATATGACCGATAGTGCGTTAAAACACGACATCGCGATAACAGGACCTCTGTATATTTTTAATAATAGCATTAAGGTATATAAATTATATATCATCTTTTAGGAAATTATCTCTACTTTCAGACCCTGTAAAAATTTTGAGCCTTATTAATCGGTAATGAATAGATTTTACGTTTTGAAGACATTCATGACTTTTTGAAAATGACGCAATTTTCCAAAGCAAGGACGAATATCCTGACAATAGGTATATTTTTTCCTGATTAAATCATTTAAATAAAATTAATATATTTAAAAAGGTTATTTTCTCTGCTTTTAAAATATGTAAAAATTATTGCTTTTACTTTTAAATATTTTGTTAAAACAAGAATTTTCTTCCACGCATGTGATTTTTCTTGGTTTTATCGTAATATTTGAATTAAACGCAGTTTTACCTTTATTTCTGTGTTGAAATAGGGAAAACAAAATACAGCAGGTAAAAGAAGAGAAAATTTCCATTTCAACAAGCCTTCACTGGTCTCTTTATTTTCGGTATTTTCTGAATTACCATAGTTTGAATTTTGAACCTCCGCGTAATTTTCGTCGAAAATTTGAATGTAGTCAATATTTAACGTCAAGGTCGTTTTCGTTGCGCCTCATTCGGAACAACATGTTTAGTACATGTGCTATTATATTTAATTAAATTTAAATAGATGCATTATTTTAAAAAAAATGGTTTAAAATAACAGTAATTATCTTTACACCTTTAGAGAAATATAGTACATATGTATTTTTGTCTATTTATGCAATGTGCAATAAGTTTATTCAGTGTTGATAAAAAAAAAATGTTTGATTCCTAAAGGTCTACGTCAAAAAAATAAGATTTATTGCTGTTTGCTTTATTAAAATATATTCTTAATATAAATTACAATTAAACATATACTGACATGAAATTTAAAAAAAACTTTGAAACACAATGATTTAATTAATACAAAATCTCCCATTTACACGACTCATTACGGTTTGAGTTGGTTTTATTCGAGATTAACACGTGTTTCCGCTGTAGCAGTAGACTGGCCTGCCTGTCTGATATCCGATATACAGACAGGTGATCAGTAATGTAAAGAGACCTCTACCGGCCGCGCTTATTGGCTGATAAAAACTCTCGCTGACGTAGAATTTAAATACCTCGGGGAAACCAAAACAGATCATAGAGTGCTATATTATGGATGATTATCGTTACCTCGAGTTTTCTTTGCGTACGAAAATTGCATTGGCAGAAATAAATTGTGAAAGATATTCAACATTAAATTTTCTAAAGCTTTTGCAAGGAAGAAGTATTAAAAGTGCTTTGAATAACGATACCGGCCGTGGTTGTTTCACCGACGGACTGCCATGGCCACGGAAAAAGTTTGATTTACGAGGTGCTGCCCAAAATATTTGAAACAAAGATTTTAATTGTTTCACCATTGAATTCCACCATAGAGGAACAATCCGCAAAATAAGGAGACAGGGCCGTAACAATACATGTACATGGAAAATTAATAGTGCAAAAAAAAAGACGGCATCCTAACAGCCATGCAGTCATGTCTTAAACTTAGTAGAACACGGTCGCTAATATTTCCACATACAATACAATTATTCCTTTTTTCAAATTTTTGTTTCACAGGAGTGTTAAACATTTCATACTAGGCCTATGTACAAGACATTTCTTCTCAGGCGTGATATATAACAGATCAGCAAGCCCCTATCTCACATTACATGTATACATGGCATACATTAATTGGATACAACTCTGCAAACTAGTTTTGTTTATTAGAATTGACATATTTAATTACCGCAGGAAACATAAATCGGTTTAAAGCTCACCCACTTAGTCAGCAGATTGCTTTATTGTGTGATTATTTCCCATGCTGTATCGTAGAGCAGCGCCGATAGATGGCGCGTCACTCAAGCCAGGAATCCCTGGCTTTAATGGCGGTGATCACCTGTCTTTTCCTGTGTATGGTAAAGACAGGCAATGCCAGTCTACTGTAGCAGTAAACAACAACAGGCTGTTGAACATCATAGACTGGCATTGCCTGTCTTTACCGTACGCAGGAACCTGTCTCCTTATTTTGCGGATTGTTCCTCTATGGTGGAATTCAATGGTGAAACAATTAAAATCTTTGTTTCAAATATTTTGGGCAGCACCTCGTAAATCAAACTTTTTCCGTGGCCATGGTAGTCCGTCGGTGAAACAACCACGGCCGGTATCGTTATTCAAAGCACTTTTAATACTTCTTCCTTGCAAAAGCTTTAGAAAATTTAATGTTGAATATCTTTCACAATTTATTTCTGCCAATGCAATTTTCGTACGCAAAGAAAACTCGAGGTAACGATAATCATCCATAATATAGCACTCTATGATCTGTTTTGGTTTCCCCGAGGTATTTAAATTCTACGTCAGCGAGAGTTTTTATCAGCCAATAAGCGCGGCCGGTAGAGGTCTCTTTACATTACTGATCACCTGTCTGTATATCGGATATCAGACAGGCAGGCCAGTCTATTGAACAGCATGGATTTTCATGATAATTTTACGATGGAGAACACGTCAATTCATCAGATATGACGGGTCTTTTCTTTGGCATTAGATGTGAGTAAGTATTGATTGAAAAGTTTAAAAGTATTGTAGAGTACATTGACTGAAATGAAAAGACATTATAGACTACCAAGGACCTATATATACTATAGTAGTAGACTGGACCCTGGCTACACATGTACATGTGATATGAAGCCGTTCGCTGGTTTGACATCGTCGGTAACCCAAAAATGATACTTTTCGGTTCTTTCAAAAAACTCTCACAAAAACTATTTTTTCCGATGACAAAATTGTTTACAAAACAATGTCACTGTTTTCTCAATATGGAATCTGAATACTGTGTTGACTGATCAATAAAATATTTTTGTTCGATGTACTCCGTCCCCTCCGATCCACATATTTAAGATGGGAGGTAGGTGGTTAATTTTCGTGTGGTTTACACTGCTGAAAAAATCACAGATTTCTTAGCAGTACACATTTGACATGTTTGTTAGCTACACAAGTTTATTGTTATAAAAACTTTCAGTCAAAAAGCATCCTATAGAAATTATACATCTTTACTTTAAAATGAAACAATTTTAGTAAATTTAAAAAGAAAAATAAAAGTTTACAGTGCTGAAAAAAAATATTGGCGTGGATAAGTATGATTGCTTCTGATTGTGTGAAACAGTTACCAATCGGTTATCCTGTTGGCCATAACTGACCTCCTTTATAATTTCATTCAAGAAATAATTGTGTGGTCTCTCATTAATAGCCCCCAAACTTTAAAAAAATTGAGTACAAAGTCTCTCAAGGAGAGGCAATTTGGTGAGTGATTTTTACATGCATTGTATTCAGAAGAGTTCAAAGTGTAATATTTCCACTGCAACAAGGTGCGACTTTTTGCACATGCTGAAAAAATAAAACATTTGAGAAAAAATTGTGATAAAATAGCTTAATTAAGCTATTCCGAATAGCTTAATAAAGCTATATAGCTAAATCAAGCTATAAAGCTTAATCAAGACTTTGTGCCGGATCTGTCAGAGTACATCAAAAAAATCAATTTTTGTATTGTGGGCCTGAACATCAAAACCGTGTTTTGAGATGATGGATTCGAATAAGTTTGACTTATTTTTGTGTTGTTTTTGAAGTGGCATGGTAAGTTTTCTTGACCACCTCTAAGAACATTCAAAGAAAAATGAAACATGACATAACACAAACACATAATTTTTTTTAGCACGTGTAGTGCGCTGGTACCATTTAGGCTTCAGAACTTTCATCTATGAAGACCCACTTGCTAATGGCCACCATGCACAGAAAAGACCATGATGTGGAGGACATATGTGCTTAGTTATTAGTAAGTCAATTTAATTGCAATCAAAATTCCTCATTGCCACTGGACGGCTATAAGTCAACACTCCCAGGTACATGAGTAGCCGGACTGGCGCAGTGGTTAGAGCCTCTGCCCTAAAGTCGCGAAGTAAGGAGTTGATCCTTAAATCGCATGTTCGAATCTTACTATGAGACATGGAGACCTGTTCTTCTGATGAGACACTATAAAAATATCTTATCTTATATTATACTTATATAACCCAATTAAGGTCCCTTGTCGCAGTAGGTGCTGGCATGAAAAAAATCCCTCACAGCTCAATAGCTGTAAGTGCCGAGTATAGAACAAAATTTGCATCTGTCCACCGACAAGTGGTGGCGTCTCCATCTGAGAGAGAAATTCTTGAGAGAGACATTAAATAACATACAAACAAGCCCATATATACATGTATATAAACACCTTGTCCCAGGGATTTTTCTCTGAAGTAACAGTTTTCTGTAAATTTTCAGTCCAACATGCCCTTTCTCTTAACAACCCTGACAACAGAAGCTAAAAAAGGATACTTCATGAATTTGATAAAATAATGGTTAATTATGCTATTTTTTAAAATTTATAATTGATTAACCTTGATTGTTTAGTGTAAAGCTTGCAATGTTTCAGTCATAATACATTGACTTCCCCAAACCATTTAACTACAAGTATGACAAAATATGACATACATAATATAATATATATGATATGCTTTATAAAGACTTTTTAACAATGTTATATCAATTTGCCAATTGTAGATTTCTGTATAAACTGAATTATCTGATTAAAAGTACATATTCGATTAGAAAAGGTTTTTCAAAACTTTTTTAAAAATTTGTTACAGAAGTCGGGACAGAATACATTTAGAAACTGATCATGCCTTGGTCAAATCAAAGGAGTTCCCTCAGTCTTTCAGAGAGATGGCAGAGAGTTCATTCAACATGAAGATGATGTGCACATAATGTAATCTGGAATCTAAAGTTAGAGATAAAAACCTGCAAACACTAGCAAATAAGCCTATCTGCTTGTTAATTATTCTTTGCCGGACACTTCACTTTTAGGAATAATCTTTATTTCTATCAATGATGCAAGTGGTTATTCAAGATCATGTCATGTGAAATAAGGAATTCTGACTTTTGACAGCATAAGACAAGGGCTTGTGAGAAGAGTAGCAAATACTAAAGAAATCCTTGGATACTGAAATTCAGTCATTGTATAAACTGGGTGAGTGAAAGATTGTATCTGAAGTTCTGTGCTTGTCCATCTTTGCTGTTTTTTCATGTGCTTATAAAATGACAAAAGTTATTTTAACAAGTAACCCAGTAAAGACTTGAAAATGTAAAATAATTCGATTTAATTGCTAAAAATTAAATCGCGTTATTAGAGAGGCCCATATTCGGGGTTATCGGGTCATTAGTGTTTCCCCGTTCTTTCAACTTTTGGTATTTTAGTCGAATCCTTGGGACTTCCTTTTCCGTTAGAGAATGAAGGGGAGCAGACATATCCTGCATCTCAAGATAAAAATTTGTTTATTTATTTTTTAATGTGTTAAAAAATTCATGTTATGCATGAAATTTAAGGAGAATGTTTCTAGCAATCTTTATTTTCGTGTGTATTTGCATCATTACGTACATGACTTTTCGGATGTTTTTCGATTTTGAAAAACCACATGCGTAATATAGAACAGAAATGTCAATATTTGAGCAAAATATAATAATAATGATTTTATTTACAAAAATTGTCGAAGTCTTAACGCTGAGACAATATTAAAAATAATAATAATAACTTTATTATTAGGCCTATTTCTATATTGTATTTCTTATTCCAAAGTCGGTAGTTTCAGGAAATGCCTAGAGTTCAACCCGCTGCCAAGCCGGCGAAGTGGAAATCAGCATCTACGAACGGGCCTAAAACAAAAAGTGGGATCAGTCGAATCTACAGAAGTTTCGTCAGAGTAAAACATACCCTGTACAGACGTTATTGTTACCATGGTTACGACAAGTGTCATGAAGTGTGGTTACTTTTCCCACTAGTTCCAGCAGTGAATCTGATTTCAATGTAGAGACTGCCAATCATGTTGATACAACAGGTAATGAGATCGATGGTATATGCGGTAGTTTGGGGGAAAATGCTACAGAATAAATCAAACATAAAATGTTAAGGGCTAATTGATTTAGGACAGCTTCTGTCCAATCCGGTCCTGATGGTTGATAAGCAAACACTAACAGTCTCTAATGGTCAAGTAGTAATTGAAATGAAAGGGTTACAGTTAAAATTACAAATGTACAGTAGTGGACTGATGCATTTTTAATTTTCTCTTCAGTATATGCCACAGTACACCCTACATAATTTCTTTGGCTTGTTTAATTAAATCCACACTGTTTGTGTAGGGGCTAGCAGGTAGGCTAACAGATATAAGGTGGCAGTTTTATAATGGTCAATTTCAAATGAGAATTGCAAGAAATTCAAGTGTTTCATGAAAATTTGATCAGGAGCTTTAGCTTCTGTACATGGTACCATCGTTTATTGGTCCGGTGCAAAACCTTCCGTGGGGGGGGGGTGTCTGCTAAATATCAATATGCTTCTGGAGATTTTTCAGGTCAAAGGTACCCATTATAATACAGGAACCAGAGACTTTCAACAAGACCACCTCAGCCTTGAGCATGATTCCACAGTGCACCACAATCTGCATTACCTAGGTTATTCCCCATTTAAAGTAGAAGTTTATGCAGCTTATTTACAAAACTCTGATTATAATAGGAAGAGTTCAGAAATTTTGCCAAAGGGGTTTTATGAAGGTTTCTAAATTAATTGTCAAAAGGGTAGTTACTAATTGTTTTAATTCAAAGTCAGTTAGGGATAATGAGCTTGGAATTCTGAAAAAATTATGCTGGAAGAGTTACTGGCCCATTCCATTCAAGACCCTTTCCCAGTCTTAGGCTTTAATTCACCCGTAGGTTTAGTAGAGAAAAAGATGGATCATTTAAGTTGATTCATCATTTATCTTAACCAGAAAACTTGAGTGCTAATTCCTTTATTGATCCATCTTTCTCCTCAGTCGGTTACTCCTCATTACATGATGCAGTTAGGTTACTAACTTTGTTAGGTAAGGGGGCCTTGAATTGGGAAAAATGAACCCCAAGTCTGCATTTAGGTTGCTTCCTGTTCACCCGGCAGATCTTGAAGCTTTTAGGTTTTAAATAAATATTTTGTGGTGTCTTGTAGTCTTTTTGAGGAATTTTCATCATATTTGGAATGGATATTGAAGCAACAGTCTGGTCAGAAATCTGTTGTGCATTACTTAGATGAATTTTGGTTTCCTGGTAGGGCAGGTAGGAATACACGTGATGAACTCATGTCATTCTTTGTGGGGCTATGCGAGCAGTTAGGTGTCCCCTCAATAGCTGATGATAAAACAGTGTGGCCTTCCACTCCCCTGACCTTTTTGGGTTTTGAGTTAGATTTGTTTGAAATGATGTTAAGAATCCCAGTTGATAAGTAGAATAGTTTAAAGGATTTGATCAACAGTTTTATGTCAAGAAAGAAGGCTACCCTATAAGAATTTAAGGCTCTTGCAGGTTTGTTGAATTTTTGCTTGTGTGCCATTCTGTTAGGCCGGGCATTCACTAGGCATAATTCATGACATCATGCAAGGGGTCTGTAAACCACATCACTTTATCAGGGTTTCTGTGGTGGTTAAGGAGGACTTGAAAGTGTGGCTTACTTTTTTAGATTTGTTCAATGGCTGCTGTTACTTTCAACAAATTGACTTTGTAGACAATGATCAACTCCAATTATTTACTGATAGTTCATGGTTTTCAGAATTATGTTGTGGCACTTTCTTCAAGAATCATTGTTGTTTTTTAAGAGGCCAAGTGAATGGGTTGGTACTAAAGTAATCAGGGACATATCATTTTTTAGCTTGTTCCAGTTTAAACAATATACAGTTCAAGGCTTGTCTTATTATCTTGTGGGTCACATCCGATTTGGAATCCTGATGAAAAATAGATAATAGATAATCTGTCATATTCTACGGTAAGAACATATCTGTCAGGTACAAGCTTTAAATGTCAACTTGATGGTACTTGAGACTTTGTTGTTATAAAAAAGATGGTGGTAGGCATGTCATGACTGCAAAGTTCTGTAGATGCTAGATTGCCAGTTATATCAAGAATTAGTTCGTTGGGGTTCAAAAGCTTACAAGAGATAAATAAGAATATCAACCTCAAATTCATTGATGGCTAAAGACTCAATTGTTTGTATTACTTCTTAAGCACCTAAAGCAGTATAGCTTGATAGGTTTTCTAAAAGCTTAATGCTAAATTTTATTTTAAATATGATCCTTTTTGTTTACAAATATTTCAGAGGGTGTAAGAATATGTACATATTTTTGGATCGTCAATATTATGGCATGATTTTGGGATTTCAACGAATGGTGCTGCCATGATTACTAGGAATAGAAATTTCTGTGAAATTCTTGCAAAATGCTACTCCTCCTACAGTTTTGGTCTTATTTCAAGATAACTTGGCACACAGGTGGATTATGCTAGGATACATGATTCTGTGCATCGGTTTTTATATTGATGAGTGGCAAGGATCATTTTTCTATTTATTGCTGTTTTAAAGTTTCAAGTATCAACTGCTACTTTTCTCTTTCTTTGTTTTAAGTATAAACCAGTAGAGCTACAGTCTCGACAGAGACTTCTGGTTTTGGTTATGCTAGAAAAAATGGGTGGGGGGGTCCAATTTTGGGTTATCCAGATTGAAAGCTAATATCTGGTGGCAGGGAAAAGGCGGCATGCATGAAATGATGACATCTCCTCCCAAAAATCAAATTAATGTTAAGGTATGAAGATACCCCACAATTATAATCTGGTTCTACATTGCAATGGCGAAGACATTGGTCAAATTCCATTATGTGTTTTGCATTATATCATAAATAATTCTTTTGATTCAATTTAAGTTCTGTTACCAAACAACAATTATGGAAAATTATTTGGTTTCAGATATTACCTTGATCGATTTGGCGTAATGCTAGGGACAACCATGCTCTTACTGAAGTTGGGTTTTGAGTTTTTAGCTTTGTTGTTTGGCCCATCAAGGGGGATATATTTGTTGCCCAGAGTTCACTTTGGTTGATCATACTCTACTTTAAGAGGATGGGGTGCACTTGTCAGAGCAAGGCAATGAGATATTTGTTGAAACTTTGAGGAAAGCATTGCATAATTTTAAAATGTCAAGGGTGGGCTTTAATGGCCATGGCACTCTATTTCACTGACTGAATAATGTAAAGCACACTAAAATAGACACTCAATAGATTTAGCTGATGTGATTGTTTTATACACATTTGTCTTAGTATGCAATGTTAATTTATTTGCTTTGCCATTCTTTGAAAAGGAGGGGTGCCGGGGGGGGGGGGGGGTATCATAAGCGTTCAGCTACCGCCATTGTGGCGGTGGACACATAGTGTCCATTGGCGCAATCTTTAGCTGAACTTAAATAGGGTTATATTTAGTGAGCATCTGTTCCCAGGGCTCGCTACAACTGTACATAATTATTTTCAATATGTGTGAAATTTCAATTTGCTTATTTGTGTCAGACTGGATGAAACATTTGCAATGTATTATTTGCCAGTAGGTTGCTTAACAGCTTCATTTGTATATTTGCCTATTTCATATTCATTTATATATTTGCCTACTTCATGATGATTTTCATTTACATGTATTTGCCATTTGCCATTTGGGTTGTCAAAATCACCCAATGTATTTGCCCATTTCATGATGATTTTCATTTACATGTATTTGCCATTTGCCATTTGGGTTGCCAAAATCGCCCAATGTATTTGGGTCGGTAACCTTGGTTACGATTGTAACCAGTAACTAAATGTACTTTCCTGAAAATTGTAGTGCTGCCATGGCCATTATTCGCCATTAAACTTTAAGAAATTTATATATGTGTGGTTTTCTCTAATAATTCTTGTAAGAAAAGAAAAAATGTAAATGTTTTCTTATACAATGTATTCTAGATGACAAAGAATGTGTTTGACTAAGTTTTTGAAAATGACAAAATAAATTCTCTTTTGTGTAATTAAAAAATGATAAAGGCTGCAATACATGTTTACCTTAATATGATTTTAATAGTATGTGTCACTAAGATTGAAATACTTGAGAACATATTTTACAAATTTTGTTCCAGTTTACTTAAGTCAGTGATATGTTTTTTGAATGACAACCAAGATTTGAAAAAAAAAGAAAGAAAAAAAAACAAAGTAATTAAAACAAAACTATTCACTTTTGTGATATCTTTTGTTGATTTTGTTGTTTACAATTTTATGTGTCAGTTATTGGAAAATATGTCCATAATAATTGCAGCATTTCAAATTTGATATATACATACAATTTAAGGCCAAATTTTTTTTTTCTCTTGGTTTACGATTCCGCCGACCCTATTTTTCCCTATTTACAAAAATAAAAATAATGTGTCTGACTCGAGAAACTGGACTCTTAATTAATCCGAAATTTTCTCGACCAAACAACTGTTTTTATAATTTACAACACATCTTAAACATTCAAATGACCTCCACAAATACAGATTGTCAGGACCAACCTAGGGGGCGACTCACTTACAGACTGTTTCTATACTAATGACCAATGCATCGAATACTCCGTCGGAACTCCTCTAGATTTTACAATTCCGGGTATGAAGAAGTCTATCGTTACAAGTTATACACAAGACACAAAAACAGATGGACAGCTATCGATGTCATGCCAAAGATGTTGGAAAAGATTTTAGATCTTTTTATTGTCAAATAATTAGTTCATGCTGTGGATACAGATATATTTTTACTGTTAAATTGTGAAGTTATTAACTAATCCTAAGAAGTCACACATCGGATCCGATAAACATAAGTAGTTCAATCGGCAGTTTAGCAGATGTGCGCCAGAACTTTTTATTAGAAAAAGAATTTTAAATTGAAAACAAAGTTTGAAGAGAAATTAACAAAATTATGACTATGCAAGAAGCCTGGAAATCTAATGAGAAGAGAAAATTTAGAAGTTTAAGATTAAATTTGCGCTACTATGTAAGAAATGAAAAAAATGTTTGATAAACAATTAATCTGACAATAAGAAACTTTTACATTTTAATAGTAGTAGTAGTAAATTTTTTTTAATGTCAATGTTGTTTTATTATTTTTTTCTAGATATTTATATACTTTGTAATTGGGATAAATATCTTTTAAGATTCTTTTTCTTTTAATGTTTAATCATTTTAAATACAATGTTTATACAGAAAAATTATTGAAATGTATGCATGTAAGTTATAAACAATGAAATAGTTTTAATAATTAATGTGTGCCACATACGCGCACCAAAAGTCTCCCTAAATTTCAAAACTTCTCCCCAAAATTTTTTGAGGGAGAAATGTCTCCTTAAATTTTGGGTCTAGGTTGGTCCCTGGACACACGTATCTAAATAAGGTAAAAGTTTTTTTTGTGAAAGCAATTCATCACTTTCGAAGTTTCCAAAAACTTTTTCATAAGTGGAAAGGCTGACCAAACAATAGCCGACTCACTTAATTTTACCCATATGTCCCAGTGCAATGTGTCTTTTATAGAAACCTCGTTCTTGTATGTCAGAAGAATGAAAACCATCAACAGTAACAGAGCCTCTGATACCCCCATTTCTGTTCTGAGTCATTTGACGTGTGATTCTTTTTTGTTGACATAAAATCGAATGGTAAGAAAAAGTAATAATGTTGAAAAATCTTACATGTTTATTATTTTTATTTGAATACATTTCAATGCTACTCGAGAAAACAAATATGTCAAGGTTCCAAATTATTTTTATTTTTATTTTTCGACCGCCCAATGCATATTTTTGTGTCAAAAATTCGTAAACCAAAAAAAATAAAAACTTTGGCCTAAGGCAGATTTCTGTACTGATATGACCTTGACACCCAAAGAACAGAAATTTCAGGGTCAATACTTAAGACGATTATTTGTTGGATGTTTTATACATTATTTTTGACCTTATATCTTACAAACGATACCATGGAAAACTGTCTAGAATAAGAAGTTAGAAACCTATAAAGCCAAAAAATTTAATATTGTTGTTGCTTAGCAACCATTTAAAGGTCATTTAACACAAATTTGAACAAAAATAATATGTGGATATTGCAATACAGTATGATGCCTTCTAAAGAGTAAATTCAGAATTTTTTTCTTTAGCATCCATTGTTACAAATTTTAGCAAGAAAGATGAAAAGTTTTGGGAAAAAATTTTAAAATTATGCACTTATTTGACCTTTGACCTCCAAAAAAAGTGAATCTGATGAGGTCAAACTTTCAGACAATTATCTGATGTATATTATCTCAGTATCATTACCCTACATTTGACTTTACAATGTAATGGAATGCATAAATGTGTGTGGGATGAGCAAAAAACAAGATATACTGACTGAAAATTGAAAAATACTCCGTTGCTTAGCTACCTCTTTAAAGTCATTATTTGCAGAATTGAAAAAAAAGTTTATGTGATTAATGTAGTACAGGATAATGCCCTTTTGTGGGTTTATTCTTAATTTCCTATTTCAATGTGTATCACTGTTAATTTTTAACTTGAAAATTAAAATGTGTCAAAAAATGCAATAAAATTCTGCACATATTTGACCTTTGACCTCAATTTCCACTAGCAAAGTCAGTCGTGAGGTACCTACATAGTTATGAAATATCATCTCCAGAAAAATGCCCTACAAAATGGTATACATTATACCTAGATTACTCTTTGAATAAAAAAGTCATAAATTGATTTATAAGGATATGTCAAAAGGTTTGCAAAAACGCTGAAAATGTGCCGGTAGAGAAAGGGTTAAGTACGCTCAATTTTGAATTTTTCTGAGTTATTGAGTCTTTAAGTGAAACCTATGACCCCTCCCTTGACTCACATATAAGAAATTGTAAAGTGAAAAAACAAATTTTTCTTCCTTTTCTTTGTCTTTTTATTATTATTACCGTGTCTTTCTTTCGAATACCACTAAAATGAAATAAATAAATAAAACAAAAATTGAAACAGATCACCAGTAATAAGAAAAAAATACCCTATTCATAAATGTACAATAGATTTTGAACAGTATTTAATCTGTTTCAAATTTTGTGAGAAAAAACTAGTAAATTCTTCCATTATATCTCATTTCAATTTCTTTAAACTCAAACAAAATAAAATATTTACATGTTTGCCTTAGAAGAAATGTGCAATTCATTTAAATTTTAAACAGACAGTTATTTTTGTTTTTGAAAAAAAGAACAATGGATCAGTGTAATCTTATATTACTTACCAGGACATTGTGAGGTCCTCCTGCAGGGGCTGTTTTAAACACAAAAATAATATCACCATCATCTTCATTATCTTCTTATCATTTTAAATATCACAGTTAACGTCAGGATGGTTCCTACTGGGCTTTTCGAATTTGAGAAACACGTTCTTTTAATGACTCTTTACAAATAACGATCGGTGTTTTCGGACATATTTTTTTATTAACTAGATGTAAAAATAAAATGTAACACTTATTTTTAAAGAAAAACGCAGAAATTGGCATATAAATTTCGGAGTTTTTTTTACACCTCAGTGAAAAGAAATGTAGCAATATTGTCTACAGTCTCTCAGAAAAAAGTTGTTTTTTTTCAATCATACTTAACTTTTCTTCAAAGTAATTTTAAATTGAATATAGATATTGGAGTTACTTTTCATGTTCGCAACTAGGTTAAGGGCAACCCAAAGGTAGAACAGTGTATGCAGAGCCTCGGGAATTCGATTATGACGTCACGGTGAAATTGTACTAATGAATCTCGGCGAATAAATAATAATTTTCTTTTTCATATACTCTTACATACTTTGATTTCTCATGATTATTGTTAATATTAATCAATGTGTAACTTATTTTGTCAGTATAACACTAATCGAATGTAAAATCAAAGCCAACTTGATCTCGCTGTACTAATAGATATGACGCCATAGGCTTGTTTGACACGCAGTTTCTCTGTACTTGAGACGCAGATAAAGCTATTAGTAGAACTGAAAATATGAAAATTAAATCGTGATCTGACTACAATTCATTCATATTTTTGAATGCATTAATCAATAGTTCACAGTCTTATTTAATTGATAACTATTAGGTCTCTTATAAAGCTGCAGTCATGCACTTTTATATAGAAACGTACTACAATCACATGTACAACCCCTCCAAAATCTCAAAAGTTCAACGATATCCGCTTGATTATAAATTATAATATTTTATACACATGTAGATACTGTCCCTACTATTTTGAAAAGTGCTGGGTGCAAGTTGTGCGCTGTTGATTTTTTCCGTAGTTTTACATTTCTTCAATGCGTATAGTGTAAATGCACATACTTTATCAAAATTCGGCTAAATTTTATATAATTACCGGGCAGTGAGAAGTTGTTCCCAGCACTTTTCGGGTTAAGAAATTTGTCTTAAATAAAACACAATCAATTTCATAGTGAAAAATTATCCGTATATCGTTGAACTTTTACGATCTTTGTATCCGTACATATTTTTTCTAATTTTAAACATGTCACGTGACAAACAGCTGATGTACATGAAGTCGCGTTGGCCGAACTTGGTTGAGACCCCATACATTCATATGCATTAGTATAGTTCCCATTAAATTAAAACTAATGCTAATAAAAAAAATATTAACATTATATTGATTTTTTCGGAATATTTTAAGGCTTATTTCCTATGGACTGCCTTAACCTAGCTGCGTTTTGAATGCATTGAAAAAGTTTTATTTTTCTACGTTATTTCTATTAAACTTAAATTAAGCTTAAATCAATTATGACGTCATATTGGATCTAGCATCAAAAGGCAATCTGAAGTAAGTTACAAGATCTTGGCCTTAAACTTCTGTTTCATGCAAGAATTTAAAATGAATGAAACTGCACTAGGTAGAAATAACTATTATAACTGCTGTATTAGACTGAAACTGATTTTCATTTGCATCAATGAAATGTAGATTTAATGCTTTAAAATCTTAAATATTATACATCACAGTGCTGTAGCATGAGACCATTGACATATTACAGTCACAAACATAGATGGTCCTATGTATTCAAATATGAAGGAGATCAGTGACGTAAAAAAAACAATAATAGACATGAACATATTACCAATGATTCTAAAATCAAATTTTAAAAGAATTAATAACACTTAAAAAAAAATAATAGTACTCACGCTGAACCTGAGCCATTTTCCAAATAACTACCAAATAACGAACAGATAACACAAAAAACCTAATCGTCAGCTATTTCAGCAAAGAGCAATTAAAACTCAAGGACTTTATCAAAGGAAGTATGTACATATCAGGGATTGTGAAGAAAGGTGTGTTGTACTTATTCTATTCAAAACATTAAAGGTGTTATAAAGAAATAAAAGCGTAGCTATATTCATCTTAATCCAGGAGTATCTTTGTCGGAAATCTTCATGGCTTGGCCATCACATTGTGCTTTTGATATAAAGAATCAATGGGCACAAGATTTCTTTCCCTATCTTTCTCTTTCTTTCTTTTTTCTTTGTCTCTCTTACACATGTATACAAATTCTGACCATGTTTTCACATTAAAATAATATCACTGACTGGCAATTTATGAAATGTGTATAAATATATTCACACTTTTATTGAAGCACTCTGACATGCATATATAACTGAACAAGTATATATGAAGCTATTTTAATGACAACGTTCATACATGTTCGAATCTCACGGCTAGCCTTATCCTGAATTTGAATTTTCAACTAGATTTTTTTACGATGGAATATCAATAAAAATGATTACATTAGTTGCTGATTTTCTTTTGCAAGTAATTGGAATGGTTATTACTAGACATAGATAAAACTTTAAAAAACTTTTAAAAAAGAAGCTTGTTTTAATTACAAAAGCACATTGTGATTTTGCACATATTCTTTAAAGTTATAACCCTTTCTTTTCCCTCTTAGCTCGGAATGCGTAGTCACATATCAAAGTGCAACTTAACTTTTTATATATGTCTCACGAATTTTTATCCATTCTGATCTAAGATAATTACAATTTTTGATCCCGTGATTCCATGAGAGGCATCCGGCAAATTTAACGTTTTCAACGTACTTGGTGACTCGCACTTTTTAATTTACCGATCATGAGTGGTGACAGGGTTCATGAAAATCTTTCATACCATGTTTACAGTAATGAGGGTTAAAATCAAATACTAAGGATTGGGCAGTTCATCAAAAATTAAAAATAAATTCTTTAAGAAAATGCATTCCAACGTTCAATATCAAGCTTCAGTTTCATTTATGCTTACTGGCATTTGCTAATACGTATTTTTAGGCCAATTGTAATTTGTATTTTTAAACCTATTCAATATTCTTCCTGAAAGGTAGAGTTTATGGAAGACCCAACGTAATACTTTCTGGTCAATGTAAGCGTTATATTTTTATTTAAGCTTGTGACGTTGCAGTTCCTCAGCGTTCATCGATTGTGCATCAAGATGAAATGCATGTTTTAATCTTTTGACACCTTTCTGTTATGATGTTTTAATGCTACAGATTTCCATTCATTTGTGTATTCATATGTTGAAGAAACATGTGTTAAGAGTAAAAATATTACAATTTTTATTAAATTAAAGAGGAAGAATTAAACGCCATTCCCTTATAAGGCCTGTAAATTGGGTTGTTTTTGCCTTAATCGATGTCGAATGCAAATCTTAAAGTAAAGCGTAAAAGTCGGATGGATTGCAAGTCTGATATAATAAAAACTCCAACTTAGAATTTTTTTTGCATATTGCATTAAAACTTATTTACTAACTTCGAAAACATGTAACCTGACAATAAAATGAATCAAAATGATTTCAACGTTTTAATGAAATTGTCGATATTAACTGCATTTCTATGAATTGTATACATTGCCAAGCAAAAAAAAAAAATACACAAAAAAATTTGATTTAATACTTTCATTACACACAATGACAAACCATTACAAAAATATAGTCTATTAAATAATCCGTACATAATCTATAGAAACGAAAAAAAAAGTTCACAATAACACATATTCTTCTGATTTTAGGCTATATTGACAGTGTAGGGTCAATGCGTGTGCATTATTAATGTCCAGGGCTTTCCTATCACCTCACTGCTGTTATGTTATACCTTCGGAAACACATTTACACTGGGAACGGAATTTGCAAAAAAAACGTATCATTAAACAAGGTAAAAGACATTAAAAGGCTTGATTTTCTTACATGCAAACTTTTCAAAAAATTTTTTCACTCAAATGAAGAGGCAACACTTGACGATGGAAGGCTGCAAATTTATACCAATGGTTGGCACTCAGAGCCATTGAGCACTGAGGGTTTTTTGTGTGAATACCTACTAAGAGTTCTGTTAATACAGAATCGTCCAACGGACTTGATCTATAGGGAGTTCAATCCAACGACGTAATTATCAACTCATAATGATATTTCTATACCGGACATATTTCTTTCCTAACAACCTCTCTCTTGTCTCTCTCTAAAGCTTAATGATCAACATTTCAGAATTAATTGTCAGGACTTTATCTTTTGCAGACAAATAAACAGACAGTTAGACAAACAGGCAGGTAGACAGAAGGATAGACAGACAAATAGACAGACAAATAGACAGACAGATAGACAGACAAATAGACAGACAGATAGACAGACAAATAGACAGACAAATAGACAGACAGATAGACAGACAAATAGACAAACAGGCAGGTAGACAGAAGGATAAACAGACAGATAGACAGACTAATAGATAGACAGATAGACAAACAGGCAGATAGACAGAAGGATAGAAGTATGTATAGACAACAAATATACACCCTCTAATCATCAATTACAAGGGCTTAAATATAGAAGGAGATGTAGTGTATTGTATTAAATAGAATCAAGGTACATGATAGAATTATGTTAATTTTTGTGATAAAAGATGAATTCTTAAAGAAGATAGCTAATATTTCAATTTAGATTTAGCATCGCAGCTATTTTGAAATAAATGAATATTTCCAATGATACATCTATGTGTAAAGACTTTCTAGAATCCATTGGGCGTATATCCTGGCAGTGTTTATTTATTAGAATCATTACAATATCCACCGATATATACGTATCTGCATTCAAATGATATTTATAACTATGTCTCTTAACTAGGTGAAGTATAGAATCTATATGAATTAAATTATAAGAAAACATAGCATCAAAGTAAACTGCGTCTAAATATCTTCAAATGATATATCAATTCATTTAATATATATTTTGTAATCTGAAAATGTTACTTGATGTGCCTTTTATGAGAGGTGAAATATAAATTAAACAACTCACCATCTTACTTATAATTTTTTTAATCTTTTAGTAGTATGTACCTTAACTCTATTACAATGCAACACAATACTATCACTATGTCCTTTTAAGGTTCTGTAATTAATGATTAGAAGGTGTGTATTGTTAAAACAAGCATCTTGTCTGCCTATCTGTTTTTCTTTATCTCTGCCTGTCTGTCAATTTGTCTGCAAAACCATAGCCTTGTCAATTAATATGATATGTGGGACCTTTCGCTTAACATAAAAAATGAGTTAGAGGATAAGAAAAAATGAGAAAGAAGACCAGTGATTTCTTTATTTCTTGCTATGTAGAGTGCATTTAAAAAACTCAATAAATCATGCCAAAGTAATCCTTGATGTAGTTTAATACAATCGATGGTAAAAGAACACAAAAATCAAATCATTGTTACAGTACGTTTACATGTAAAACACTGTTTATTTTGTGTATCATAGCTAAAATTTCCTTAAAAGATAAAGCTCTACCTACTATTTACACTCTTAACTGGGCAGGATGAGGATCTGAACAGCTGCTTTAATAATACTGGAAGAGGAAAAATCCGTTTATTTAGTTTACATGGAGGACTTCAATGCCAATTTTAATAGTCCTCTCACACTGACGTTCAAACACAAAGGCAGCCGCACGAGATTTACATGCATATTTGGCCTCCTTAGCGTCAGACACAGAGACAGATGCGCACGAGATTTGCATGCGTATTAACCTCCTTAGCTGCTGACCTATCGACCTGCCTAATTTACATTCCGGCAGAATTATCAAGAAACAAATTCCCCAAACTTTCAAACAGTTATCACAGAGAAAAAAATTAGAAATAATTAAACTTTAACCTTTTTTAAAAAAATATATGGGATTGGTTATCATCTCTATTACAATGCATGTACATATAATGTTAAAAATATATTGATATATATGTTATTTTTTTATACGAGGTTAATATTAATACTCGCATTAAATAAAGTAATCATATTAATGCTTAAATGATAAAGATCTGTCCTCCACTACATGTGATCTTTCAGTAGATTTTCAATTCACTGAATGGCCGAGTCTAATTCTGTTAATTTTTTTTTTGGTCAACCTCAACAGATGTATGCAGAATTAATTCAATACATATCAATTTTTCTATCAATACGTATTTATTAAGACCACCAGCGTGAAACAGAAATGATAAGGGAAAGTAGAGCTCGCTTTGTACATTTAAACTGTTTCGTTTTACAATCAACTTTTTTTAGTCCAACCACCAAGACGAATGGGCTCTTCTATCAAATCCCTGAAATATAAATCATAACAATATAGTTTAAAACAAAGAAATAAATCGGACATTTCAATTGATTACCTTTATTTATTCGTGACAGGGAGATTAAAACCCAACTTCCCTTTAAATGTAATTTTCTAGTTATAGTAACTATTCTATTATATATAACAATACTCCAGTCGAAATGCTGCTTCGTTTAATATACCCTGTTTAAAGTACATACCGTGTACCAGTAATGCAGCAGGTCGTCACGAACAATTTGATGCTTTTCATGACCCTCCTTTATAAAATTCGGGCAAACTCGTTCATTCGTTTTTAGCTCAGCGACTGTTCTTTCTGATAAAAAGCAATGCTCATCTTTTTCAGTTATATTTATATCTTTACACGGATACCCCACTTCATAGAGAACTTGGTGATGGAGAGTTGTGGTAATCTCCCGAAGCAAATGTTCAATTTGAATTCTGATATTCTTGGTATCTACCCTTGTTAGATAAATTTTATCATCTGGAGTAAACGCTTGCAATTGAATGGATGTTTTATTAACAGCAATAGCAATGTTAATATCACCCCCCTTTTCCTTGTAAAAGGCAATGTTTTTACAGAGCAGATCCTCACTTAATAATTCCCACTTCGAAAAACAAATAGCGACAAGTCTAAAGAAAAAGAAATGCGGAATAAATGTTTTGAAAGAAAAGACCAAAATCGGGGTCTTATTTCCATTGTTGTATAAGTCAAAGCTTTTTGTTGTGAAATCAGTCTTATTGATACTTGGGATGTAGTACAGGGATTCCTGTCTATTCTCTAACAATTCCGCGTCTTTCACCACAACTTCTTCGGTTTTCATTTTTGCAAGAATTCCAAGTTTCTCCATGTATGGAATTATTTTATTCTTCTCGAGAACATATGACTCCTTTTCGTTTTCCTTCCATACCCTGACCAGTATTGAATCTGAAATAATCCCATTCTTCATGAAAATGTCCCATTCTTTAACCCTGCTGCATGCTGAACGTGCGTGAGTAGGGTCAGTTATGATATTTTTAAAAGCGTCTACAAACCAACCAACGTCTAATATTATGTTGTTTCTCAGTACCTTCTCTGAGAAATAGATAATCTGACCCACCTCTGAAAAGTATCTTAGCATATCATCCAACTCATTTTCTTTAAGCATTTCAAATTCGTTCTTTAGGCTATATCTGCTGATAATTCTAGTTGCTTTGTGATCTTGTACAAATAGCTCAAACATGTACCATATTTGGGGAATTTTTTCACCCCAATGTGGAAGACTTTTTGCTGTATGAACAATACAATTTCTGACTTGTTCTATTGTCTCTTCCTGGTGTTCATTCAATTCTCCAAGAGGACATTCAATCTCGTAGTAACGTGCAGGTGAGATATGATCATTCAATGTATGTTCACTAGGCAAGCATCTCTCTAGTGCGTCATAGAATGAAGTTTGGCTGGACTCTGTTTCTTTCTGCAGCTGTAGAAGACATTGATTATCAAATTATCAGGTAGATGATTAAAGTGCATGAAGAATGTTGAGAATTCTTATAATTCCCAAAATTAAAGGAAAATTATTTTTTTTAGATTATGTATGTTTTAAATTGGTTTAAAACATGATGTAGATTGATTATGATGAAGCTAGAAACATTTCAATTATCAAAGAGTAAATTCAAACACTACAAATTACGCTAAATAAACTGAAATACACCTTTTACTGACTTAACACTATAACTTAGCTGAAAATTTTTCTTCCACAAGTTTTGTATAATCAGTTTATGATTTTCAACTTAATACAATTGGTTATCAATTGCAAATGAGGAGTGAGAATTGAGTTTTCTCAAAGAGAAATATAAATAGTTAAATGTGAAATAGCAAGACTGACAAAAGATTGATAAAAAGGTGGAAAGAGATAATCGATCCGCCATTAAAGATTTTTACCTCGATACAGTCACGATGAGAGGCAATCAAGATAACGGGGTTGGCCTTGGTTTCATTACTACGACTTTCCTTAGGTTTTCCATCCTCATAGTAAGTTTTAATGGATTGCAACCAAAACACGAAGTAGTCTTGCAAAAAAAAATCGTGTTATCAAGAGATGCAATTCTGTTTACCTGTAATTACTAGTGATATAAGTTGTCTTAAAATGCCATGGAAGTCATTGTTCCATGTATAAATAAACAAAAATATATATCAAGATATTCTGTAGAAAAATCGATATTAATACCTGCTAATGTCCAGTTATGAAATAAAGATCCTATGGGACTGTGTCTATCAGTGTCGTATGACATAGCTTTCTCCTCCAGACCCTTAGACATGTCAACCACCACGAGATAAAAGGCTCTTCTGGAGAGGTAAATCTGGTGACACGCGTAATACGCTACTTGTCCAGCGAAATCCGTCATACTTATAAGTTGTCTGCCATTTGTGCTGTTAGAAGTCTTCTCTGATTGGCTTCTATTTTTATCAAAATCTGAAAGAATTGCAAATGAAAATATATTCCTATTCATAAAATAAAATTATTCATGTTTTAAAACACAGACTATATGACACCTATTTTAAAATCTTAACAAAATGAACGTTTTGAAAACAAGCTACTGGCCTTTTAAAAAAGAACTGCAACTTGTTTCTAAGTGAAATTCAATTAAAAATAATTCTAGGTTTAGTGAAATTTACCCATCTATAAACATATCAGCTTAACATATTTAAAAATAAATCACCTATTAATGTGTCATCTTTAATTTCAAACAAATCCTCGTGAATATCAAGACCGACGGTTGTCTCAGTTGGTTGTTTGTTTTCTTCTTTGTTTTCCCTTTGAAGTCTTCTAAGAAGAGTCGTTTTTCCTGCGCCTGTGCATCCCACTATCATTCCTCTGGCACGGCATATGTTCACACTGCCTTGACTGGAAATTTTGACGAACCTTTTTCTTGCTTCTATGTCCCAACGCAGTACTTCTTCGGGTATCTTCACTAAATAAAACATGAGTCTAATTATAATTATCCTCTTCACTGGCATGTAAATGTAAAAACATATTTTGTTAGGGAATGGAAAGTTGATTTTGAAGGGGCTGGGAGGGGGGCTGGCTATTATCTCCAAGTCAAATTATTTATTTTCATATAGATGAAGGACACAATTTTATTATCATTTTTTACTAAACCAAATATCTGACAAGCAAAATGGAAAAAAAGAAAAGCATTAATCAAAAACTCTAAATAGGTGGTGGTGGTGATAGTGAAAGGGGGGGGGGGTAATGGCTTTGGTCATGTACAGATTATTTATTTTCCTGCCAGTCGAGGGCGGATAATTACTTTCAACATTTTCGAGAACGGGTTATTAATTTCCCTTTCTCAGTCTCCCCTTTTCCTCAGAATCAAACACTCGTCCCCATTTCCTTTTTTACCTCACTGAATGTGGGATATAATAATTTCGGACTGTCGTTCCCTCCATTTATATTTCTGTCTTTCTGGAACGCTTTTGTTTTAAGCCATATACCGTATAAGTGGAATTTTAAACGAGGATTTAATTTTGGTGTTATTAGCGAGGGTGCTGACATTGCTAAAATTTAATATTGCTAAAAGATAAATAGCGTATTATTTGTAATAGCTTCTTTAGTTAACATTTAAAAGTCGCTAAAATTACTTTTCGCTAAAATACATGTACCTGATGTTAGGTTGAAATCGCTAAAATTTCCACTTATACGGTGTATCGAGAAGTCTTAAACCTTTAGCAATTACATGTACATTTTACAATATAACTCCAAATGGCAAAAGAAAAACTCCTTTTGATTTTGAGGTAAAAATTTCTAACTGTAAAAGTAATAAGGTAAAAGAATTCTGTCTGTTTTAAGGTCAAGATCAAGTAAATGAAATACCTATTAGACAGATCCATCAAATTCCAGAAATTAATTCCTGTAATGATGCTTTCTAACGTTAGCTTGGTCAAATAAGGTGTTTCGGGTCATACTTTGTAGGTAAAGAAGATGAAAACCATATTTTAAACAGTCATTTTTAATAAAAAAAAAAAGAAAGAAAATTCAATTGAATGCTATGAAAATATCCTATTTTCTACAAAATTCTGCTTATGCCGTAAAGTACGGGAAAAAGAATGTTGAAATGGATTATTATGTCATAATAATGTAGTACATGTAACTTCACGAAATCGTTCTTGTCCATAACCAAATTTTGACCTTAAAAATTTTCCACACGTTTCCGCGCGATATCTTGAGAAGCATTTCAGCTTGTGCAATGACGTTTTATACCTGGTTTCTCTATGGCCTATGGAAGATTTTGAAGTCAAATGTCAAGTTCATAAATAATGAATAGTCTGTCTGTTTTGAAACTTTTCCGCACGTTTCCACGCGATATCCTGGGAAGCGTTAGAGCTTGTTGAATGAATGAAAACCACAATTCTCGTTGACCTGTAAAAGACCCCTATTTGATTTTTGGTGGCCAAAAGGTCAAGATCGTAAATTGATGTTCTGTGTCGGTGTAAAACTTTCAATTCCGGGCGATATCTCAAGCGGCTTTCAATTTTTTAAAATTTTATGTTTTACCAAAATTCCGATTCCCTTTGCCCCCCCCCCCCCTGCACGTATTAAAGTGCTTCTTCGAGCTATCCCCCTCCTGGATCAGCACATCTTTGTTTCCCTTCTGCGGGGAACACGGATTCTCTGAATAAGCTTGTTACAATGTGCATTTAATGCCACACCAATGAAATATCTTGTTCGTCGGACCCGCGCGCTCGTATTTTAGTGATTATGGCGAAATCACCCGCATTCGTCAATAACTCCAATGATGCACAGTTGCACAAACCTTTTCAATTAATCTCAGCGATATTCGGAGGGACTTAAAGTTTGGTCTGGCGTCCAGTGGATTTTTATGCATGTTTTAGCAGTGAAGGGTAACGACATGGAAACAAGTAAACCTCATAACTCCCTCTTGGTGAACTGTGAAGATTGGATAGAGTGGATCTGTTATGTTTAGGCAGATAAGCCTACCATGGTCAAAATTTCGAGATGCCTAAATATAAGAAGAAGGTATTAAGACTAGATAAAGATGCATATATACTTTCTGAATAAGTATGTATTAAAAACTTTCAATAAATTTTATCCATTTTTTAGGGAGACTTCTAAGCTACTTGATTTATTTATTTGGGATGTTGAGTGTTGAAGCAATGCATGAGCTCCTGGGCCAGCAAGATTTGGTGTTTTTTTCTGATTATTTACAGTGAAAATAAACTGCACTTAAACCAAGAGAACTATTCATATATTGCAGACTTATATCAGTCATTCAAAAAGGTCTTCAATTGAAGCACAGTGCATGCAAACTGGAAGTAGATAATATTTCCATGAAGCCATAGAATCGTTTCCACCTCAGACAATTCTTGAACAGATTCCGTGTTTATCATGTTTACATGACTGTACTAATTCCAAGCTGATGTAAATCACCCAGAAGAAATTAAAGTATCCACCTTCCTGAACAATGTGCCAAAGAGGCTTCCCATAATTGACATGATATCTATACATGCATCTTTAATTTGATACTTTATATATTAAAGTATATATCAGTCAACTCTTGAGAATAGAAAAAAATATATATTTGATTTTTATGATATTTTTCCATGATATAACTGATTTTTGGGCTCTAAGCCAATTATATTTTTATCATATATTTGTGAATTACTATAAGTAATAAAGTTATCACTGTTTGAATTAATTGTAAATGGTAAATATTAATAAGACATACTTGTAGATGGTTCTGTTATGTGTTTTCTTTTTAAATTATGTGAATTTTTGGGCAATGTTAATAAGCTTCTGATATTGTGCATAAATATAGAAAAATAATAATAACAGTAGTTTTGCTGAAATTGTCCAGTTGAATGTGTATTTATTTTGTGTACCCTTATGAAATAAAGAACCTGTATCAATTAGATGTCCTAAGGATACTCTAAACATGTAAAAGAATCATTGTATATTTTAGAATTGTTTTCTTTTTAACATATGGAGTAAAGTCATTAATATGTAATTAAAATGAGAAACCATATAAACAGTATTATTATGAGTGTTTTGTTTATGTACAAATATGGAATATTGAATGTCTAACATGATCAGGGGAATTGGAAAAAAATTATAATGATTTACACTATAAATGGAAAGGAAAACAAAAAAAATATATAATCGCTCGCTCAGTTATTTTACTTCTTCGCCTGGAAATTATGTTGATGAAAATATTAATATTATAATTATCAAATCGCTAGCTCGCCCCAATTTTTTGGAGTCAGTTGTCCGAAGAACAAGAAATTTTATTGGTGTGGCCTAAAACTAATCTCTACACGATTGCGTAAAAAAAATCATCTTCATTCAAAATAAATTCTTTTCCCTCTAAATCAAATATGAAAAATAAAACAAAGGAAAAAATCTGCAAAATTTGTCATGCTGTTTAAAATTACTAGCATAAAAATGTTCATCTCTTCATCTATTGACTACCGGGTACTTTCGATAACTGGGCCCGATTTACAAGGAACTTGAGTATAAGACCCAAATTTCATTCTTATAATTATAAACTTGAAAACTACACTTAACTAACAGGGGTTACAATTAAAATAATTTTTCAATGACGTAATAACATAAGATTTAATACTTTTGATTTTGCTTTTTCGAAAGATTACGCTAATGAAAAACAGATAAAAATAAATGTATTTTTATACACAAATCAAGAAAATGAAAGAGTTACTAAAGAGGATCTTATTAAAGAATGATGAAGATTCTCCC